GCCAGCACATTGGCGGGTGTGGAGGGAGGGAGGGCAGACGATCCCCCTTGTCCCTAGATGGTGCACACGCCAGGAAGGGCGGTTGGGATGTGGCACAGGTGTGAGGGTGCAGATGCTCCCCATTACCCTTTCCACCCCTCCCCCGCGCCCTCCGCTGCTTCCCTCACCCGGGCACGGCTGTCGCAGCAACTGGACAACAGTGACATTAGTGAGGACGATGTCTCGCTTCGACATGGTCTCTTATAAGGTTATCATTGGCCTGGCTGCCCCGGGACCTGCCGCGATGTTACTGAGGTGCGTGCGGAGTGCCAGGGCTGGTGGGTCCGGGGCTTCTTGCCGTGATGTCACAGTGCCCAGTGATGTCACAGTACCCAGTGATGTCACAGTATCCAGTGACGCCACCCAGGAGGCAGTGCCCAAGCCAGAGGCCTGAGACCACCGCATCTCATCTCCGTAGAGGCATGGGATGTCAGCATGGAATCCCACTTTTTAAAATTATCATTTGTTTATTTATTTTGAGACAGGGTGTCACTCTGTCTCCTAGGCGGAGTGTAGTGGTGCAATCATGGCTCACTGCAGCCTTGAACTCCTGGGCTCAAGCGATCCTCCCGCCTCGGCCTCCTGAGTAGCTGGGACTACATGTACAGCCTTCACGGCAGGCTATTTTTATTTTTTATTTTTTTGTAGAGAGAGAGTCTCACTCTTTTGCTCAGGCTGGTCTAGAACTCTTGGGCTCAAGCGATCCTCCCACCTCAGCCTTCCAAAATGCTAGGATTGCAGGAGTGAGCCACCACACCCAGCCTGGAATTCCACCTTTTACACCGTCCTGAAAGCCTTTTCCTCTCTGTCTCCTGAAGTACACAGGCTCCATACTGTTCCTTGGCTTCTCCCCCGGGGTGACTCTAGCTGCCTCCATATGCCTGGAAAACCCACCCAGGGCTTCCCTTGGCTGCCTCTTGGTTTCCCACCCTTTAAGAGAGGCTTTCTAGACTCCCCATCTAAGTTCCCTCCTTTCTCTGTCACTGTCAGCCGTCACCCCCTTCCCCCCAATCTCTGCCCATCTTCCAGGAAGCCTTGTCTGACTTCTCCATTCTGGGTTATGTTCCAATGTGCAAAATTTCTCTAGGGCTACACTGTCTATGTTTTTATTTTCCTTAGAACACATGTCTCTCTAAAAATTGTTTTCTTGCCAACTGTCTTTGCCCACTAGACTGTAAGCTCTGAGAGACCAGGGACGTCATCTCTGTCACTTCTATATCCCATTGACAAGAAAAGTGTTTGGCACTTAAAAGGTGTTTGTGAGCTGGGCACAGTGGCTCACGCCTGTAATCTCAACACTTTGGGAGGCCGAGGTGGGAGGATCACTTGAGCCCATGAGTTTGAGACCAACATGGGCAACGTGGCAAAACCCTGTATCTACAAAAAATTAAAAAATTAGCCAGGTGTGTTGGTGCACACCTGTCGCCCCAGTTATTAGGGAGACTGAGGTGGGAGGATCACTTGAGCCTGGGAGGTCATGGCTGCAGTGAGCTGTGATTGTGTCACTGCACTCCAGCCAGGCGACAGAGCAAGACCCTGTCTGAAAATCAGAAAAAGGCATTAGCCCAATAAACTATGCCTGAATGAATAAACGTCAATTCCTGAGGTTTCATCTGATCGCTAATCTTTTCTTTTCTTTTCTTTTTTTGAGACAGAGTTTCTCTCTTGTTGCCTGGGCTGAAGTGCAATGATGTGATATTGGCTCAGCACAACCTCTGCCTCCTGGATCCAAGTGATTCTCCCACCTTAGCCTCCTCAGTAGCTGGGACTACAGGCATGCGCCACTACACCTGGCTAATTTTTTTTTTTTTTTTGTATTTTTAGTAGAGATGGGGTTTCACCATGTTGGCCAGGCTGATCTCAAACTCCTGACCTCAGGCGATCCATCTGCCTGGGCCTCCCAAAGTGCTGGGATTACAGGCATGAGCCACCTTGCCCGGCCCTGATTGCCAATCTTATCACACTCTTCACGTCACATCTTCTCGCAGCACCCATTCTTTTCCTTGTAGCTTTTCATGTAGTTTGTCATGATCTATTGATTGGTTTATTTGTTCGATGTCTCCCCCTTGGGCTCTAAACCCCTCACAGGGCTCCCGTTCTTGTTTGTTTGTTCACAACTGTGCCTCTAGCACTTAGAACAACACAAAGCAGGTTTTCAATAAACATCTGACAAACCACAAGTGGACAAACAGCTCCCTTCCCTGCAACCCCGGGGTAGGGGTTTGCTTGCACCTCAGTGACTCACAGGCAGGCACCCTCACCTGCACAGCAGGTTGACACGCAGCTGTGACCAAGATTCAGGGGGAGTCGGGGTTTGCGCCAGGAAGGAGTCACCATCCCAGAGAGGGATGGATGCAAGAAGGGGCAGAATGAGATAACCTCTTCCTTCCGCCAACATCCATGGGAAATTCATTTGCCAAGCACCTGCCATGGGACTGGGGCAGGGGGAGGTTCTCCTTCTTTGATAGCCTGGGAGAAGAAAGTAAACCGGGTGTACAGGTGAGGAGGTTTTAATGAACCGAGACCAAAACACAGATGATTAATTAAACAAAGGGGGCTACATTTTGGTGTACAATCAAGGAGGTGAAAAATATAACATCGACAAAACCAGGATTAAAAAAGGGCTGATTTTGGCTGGGTGCAGTGGCTCACGCTTGTAATCCCAGCACTTTGGGAGGCCGAGGCAGGTGGATCACCTGAGGTCAGGAGTCTGAGACCACCCTGGCCAACATGGTGAAACTCCATCTCTACTAAAAATACAAAAATTACCCAGGTGTGGTGGCGTGTACCTGTAATCCCAGCTACTCAGGAGGCTGAGGCAGGAGAATCACTTGAACCTGGAAGGCAGAGGTTGCAGTGAGCTGAGATCACGCCGCTGCACTCCAGCCTGGGGGATAGAGCGAGACTGTGCCTCCAAAAAAACAAAAAGAAGATGGAACACAGTTCAAAGTGGGAGAAATGCCACCTCTTGATCTCCGGGTGGATTAGGATTCTGACACTCATCACCCACTCTTCTCTGCCCAGCCACCTCCTGGTGTGGGAAACTCCATCATTTCGGCCCTGGACCAGGGCAGAAAAACCACACCTGAGTTTGCCCAGGAAGTTGGCTTTTTCTCTGGAGTGTGAAACCAGGAAACAGATTTGATGAACTCAAGCTTGGAGAGGTGGCACACTTAGTCACCCTCTATAGGCAGAGCCCAGAGAAGGCAGAAGCTTCTGGGAATCTGTCCTGGGATGCCTGTCTTTGGGTGGAGTCAAGTGTCCAGGAGCTGGAGAGGAACCCTGGGTCCTCTGAAGGGAGTGGGCCTTAGCACTCTTGTTTGAGCAAAGCCTGAAAACACGTGCAGATTCTCGCCACACCTGGGCACCCACACACATAGCTCTGCCACCTCCAGCTGCTCACACCCTGCACATTCCTTCCTGCCTGGCCTTCCCACCAGCAATCCCACCTCCACCCCTCTCTCAGTCTCTCCCCTTAGCACCAAAACCCAAATATCTTTCACCCTTGCACCCACTGTAGCCACCCACTGGCTCTTGTTCTGGTCTTAGCCTCCTCCAAACCGGATCCTAGATCCATCTGCTGCCCCAAGCCTGCCCACCACCACCTGCCCTTCCTTCTAATGCCCTTTTCATGCCCAAGGTCAGACTCTCAGCTGTTTCCCCTCCAACCTGAGCCAAAATGTCAACGCTTGGAGCTTCAGGTTGGGGCTTAGGAGGGCCCATGCGGGGAGGGCAGGAAGGATGAGCGCCTGGCCCCAGCCCAGGTTCTGTCTCACAGGCTCCTGCTGCCCCGGGTCTTCGGCCCCTCCCCGTGGCTGCCTCGACCGGCTTTTCAGGAGACACTGCGTCCTGTTCCAGCTCATGGCAATCAGCCCCCTGCCCTTGCCCAAGGGCTGGGAGGCAGGCGGTCTGGGTTCTGTGACAGGAATGGGATCCCGCCTCCAAAATCCGCAACACTCCCCAAGAGACCCTATGCTGTCCTGGCGACCCAGGCGCCCTTCCCTCCAGCACCCTGTAAACCCAGACTTGGGCTTGGAGTCTCTTCCTTTGGCTTCCTTGAATCTATCCATTTGTCCAGTCAATAAATATTTACCGAACCCCAGGCAGTGTCCAAGAAGCTATGAATACAGCAGTGACCAACATGACCAATTTACATTCCTAGTAGGTGAGACAAGCAATAAAAAATAAAGGTAATTTCAGAATTTTTTTTTTTTTTTTTTTTTTTGCTGTGAAAACAAAAGGGTGATACTACAGAGTATAGTTAATGTCATGTTATGGTCAGGGGAGGTTTTCTTTCAAAGTTGGCATTTAAGTCAAGTACGGATGAGGAGGAGCCAGCCATGTAAAGATCTGGGTTCTGCATTCCAGGCAGAGAGAGGAGCATGTGCAAAGGCCCTGCAGCAAGAATGAGCTTGGTGTGTTTGTGGAACAGGGAGAAGGCCTGTGTGACTGGAATGGAATGAGTGAAGGGCAGGGGCCGGCCCACAAGAATGAGGTCTGATGACTCCTTCAAACCCCCTAGGGTTCTTCCCTCTCCAGACGGTGCCTCCCATCATTGTAGCCCCTCACTGCTGGGGGAGCTGGAGGCTTAGATGCCTGAGAGGAGTGAGGTGTTGAGGAATCCCCTGCATCCCAGGGACAGAGAGTGGTGGAAGGTGGGTTTGAGAGAGAGGAGTCCTGGACAGTGGGTGAGGAATGAAAACAGGAGGTGGTTGGAAGGGCAGACACCCATCTCTGGGGTGGAGGGCAAGAAGCAAAGATGCCAGAGTTCTTCTCCATCCATGACTCACCCTCTCTTCCTCCTCCTCTCCATTGCTCAACTCCAAATCTCCCTGGGAAACACCTCCTTGACTGAGGACCAAGTCAGTGCCTCACAGGGGTAATTGAGTCATGAGGGGTGGAGAAGAGGGCTAGAGGGAGAGAGAATAAATAGCAGTGTGGCTTCCCAGGCTCCTCTCTGCATCCTCCCCGACCTTCCCAGCAATATGCATCTTGCACATCTGGTCAGCTCCTGCTCCCTCCTTCTGCTACTGGGGGCCCTGCCTGGATGGGCGGCCAGCGATGACCCCATTGAGAAGGTCATTGAAGGGATCAACCGAGGGCTGAGCAATGCAGAGAGAGAGGTGGGCAAGGCCCTGGATGGCATCAACAGTGGAATCACGCACGCTGGAAGGGAAGTGGAGAAGGTTTTCAACGGACTTAGCAACATGGGGAGCCACACCGGCAAGGAGTTGGACAAAGGCGTCCAGGGGCTCAACCACGGAATGGACAAGGTAGCCCATGAGATCAACCATGGTATTGGACAAGCAGGAAAGGAAGCAGAGAAGTTTGGCCATGAGGTCAACAACGCTGCTGGACAGGTTGGGAAGGAGGCAGACAAACTGATCCAGCATGGGGTCCATCACGGGGCCAACCAGGCGGGAAGTGAGGCAGGGAGGTTTGGCCAGGGGGCCCACCATGCTGCGGGGCAGGCTGGAAATGAGGCTGGGAGGTTTGGCCAGGGTATCCACCATGCTGCAGGGCAGGCAGGAAATGAGGCAGGGAGGTTTGGCCAGGGGGCCCACCATGGTCTCAGTGAGGGCTGGAAGGAGACAGAGAAGTTTGGCCAGGGGATCCACCATACTGCTGGTCAGGTTGGGAAAGAGGCAGAGAAGTTTGGCCAGGGGATCCACCATGCTGCTGGTCAGGTTGGGAAGGAGGCAGAGAAGTTTGGCCAGGGGGCCCACCATGCTGCTGGTCAGGTTGGGAAGGAGGCAGAGAAGGTTGGCCAGGGGGCCCACCATGCTGCTGGTCAGGTTGGAAAGGAGGCAGAGAAGTTTGGCCAGGGGGCCCACCATGCTGCTGGTCAGGTTGGGAAGGAGGCAGAGAAGTTTGGCCAGGGGATCCACCATGCTGCTGGTCAGGTTGGGAAGGAGGCAGAGAAGGTTGGCCACGGGGCCCACCATGCTGCGGGGCAGGCCGGAAATGAGGCTGGGAGGTTTGGCCAGGGGGCCCACCATGTTGTGGGGCAGGCCGGAAATGAGGCAGGGAGGTTTGGCCAGGGTATCCACCATGCTGCAGGGCAGGCGGGAAATGAGGCAGGGAGGTTTGGCCAGGGGGTCCATCATGGACTCAGTGAGGGCTGGAAGGAGACAGAGAAGTTTGGCCAGGGAATCCACCATACTGCTGGTCAGGTTGGGAAGGAGGCAGAGAAGTTAGGCCAGGGGGTCCACCATGCTGCCAGTCAGTTTGGGAAGGAAACAGAGAAGCTCGGCCATGGGATCCACCATGGGGTTAATGAGGCCCGGAAGGAAGCAGAGAAGTTTGGCCAGGGAGTCCACCATGCTGCCTCGCAGGTGGGGAAGGAGGGAGACGGAGCGGTCCAAGGCCTCCATCATGGCATTAGTCAGGCTGGAAGGGAGGCGGGGCAGTTTGGCCACGACATTCACTATGCAGCAGGGCAGGCTGGGAAAGAGGGAGACATAGCAGTCCACGGTGTCCAACCTGGGGTCCATGAGGCCGGGAAGGAGGCTGGGCAATTTGGCCAGGGAGTTCACCACACCCTTGAACAGGCCGGAAAGGAAGCAGACAAAGCGGTCCAAGGGTTCCACACTGGGGTCCACCAGGCTGGGAAGGAAGCAGAGAAACTTGGCCAAGGGGTCAACCATGCTGCTGACCAGGCCGGAAAGGAAGCAGACAAAGCGGTCCAAGGGTTCCACACCGGGGTTCACGAGGCTGGGAAGGAGGCAGAGCAGTTTGGCCAGGGAGTTCACCATACCCTTGAACAGGCCGGAAAAGAAGCAGACAAAGCGGTCCAAGGGTTCCACACTGGGGTCCACCAGGCTGGGAAGGAAGCAGAGAAACTTGGTCAAGGGGTCAACCATGCTGCTGACCAGGCTGGAAAGGAAGTGGAGAAGCTTGGCCAAGGTGCCCACCATGCTGCTGGCCAGGCCGGGAAGGAGCCGCAGAATGCTCATAATGGGGTCAACCAAGCCAGCAAGGAGGCCAACCAGCTGCTGAATGTAGGTGAACAGGGATGGGGAAATGGGGGACATGGGGGTTGGGGGAGGGAAAGGTTAAACCCCTGGGACATTTGGGGGGGTCCATGTAGTCTTCGTTTGGTGAAAGAAGCTTGGGCAGCTGTATCACTGTGCTTCTCCCCTTTCCCCATCTCCCTTACAAAGAAGCTGGTGGTAGCTGGTCAGATAGGGTGAGCCACCTTATCTGCAAAGCATGTATCAGACAGGTTGGTGGGCACTCCTGGTTAAGGGGGCCTCAAGTGGGGACCGTGAAGCCCCTCCTGGGGAATGGGAAACAGTTCCTGAGATCAAGATCTAGTATAGGCACTCACTGCAAAGGCATTGAGTGTTGAGAAAACCTGGTGAGGAGAGTGAGCATGAGGAACAGCTTTTGCAGATGAGCCTTGGCCTGTGCAATCTTCGTAACTACCCTCTGATGTGGTCAAGATGAGGCTGCTGGCGCCCTGATTCTCAGATAAGGAAACAAAGGCTCAGAGAAGTTAGGGGACGTGCCAAGGTCCTGTGGCTAGTGCCCAGCTTTGGCGGAGGGCAGGCCAGTGTTTTCTTCCCCTACACTGCCCAGCCAGGAGAGTTTTTCTGGAAGGTTTCTCTCACCCATTTATGTAGAGGGAACAGAAGCCAGGTTCAGTGGCTCATGCCTGTAATCCCAGCACTTTGGGAGGCCGAGACAGGCGGATCGCTTGAGGTCAGGAGTTCAAGAGCAAGCCTGGCCAACATGGTGAAACCCCGTCTCTACTAAAAATACAAAAATTAGCCGGGTGTGGTGGCGGGCGCCTCTAATGCCAGCTACTCAGGAGGCTGAGGCAGGAGAATCCCTTGAACCCGGGAAGCGGAGGTTGCAGTGAGCCAAGATCGTGCCATTGCACCCCAGCCTGGGCAACAGAGTGAGACTCTGTCTCAAAAAATAATAGTAATAAAATATGTAGAGGGAACAGAGATTGGAGGCAGGCAAATAGCGCCACTCACAACAGAACAGACACCAAGAAGGGAGCGTGGGGAGCAGGAGAGGGTGGACTCCTGTGCGCCCTCACTTTCCAGGCTCCATGAGGGGTCCTGGGATCTGCAAGATGTGACTGGCTCCGAACTCAAAGCCCAGAGCCGCATCTGCCGCCAGACAGAGCCAGGGTGGGGAGGAACGGTGCAGCAGAGGAGTGGGCGCGGCAGGCTGCAGGGTGCCGCGAGCAGAGGTGCACTGTGGGAGTTGGGGCTCGCAACAGCAACCGGGGTTGGGGGCGCTGCTGGGGTGCATGGCTGAGTGTCTGGGGCTGGGTTAAGGATGAGGATCAGTGGAGTTAGGGATGCAGCTAGACAGGGCATAGAAGGGTAGATGTGAGGTCAGGGCTGAGGTGAAACTAGGTCCTGCTAATGGCATGGGTCCTCTACCTTCCCTTTCCACCAGCCCCTCCTCCGTGACTGAGGGCACTTCGTTAAGGAAATTAAAAGGGGCTTTGGGGAGGAAAAGGTAGCAGGAGGCAGAATGCCCACGGGAGCACGGGCTTTGGGTTTTCTTCTGGATAGTGAGGAGGCAGTGGGTTAAGCTGTGCCTCCCACCCCAGCCCCAGTCACCCTGGAGGGGACCAGGTCACTGGGGAAAGGGAACTGGGAGACCCCCAGGATTAAGGGTTTGTAACAAGAGTCTGGGCTTTGTCCACAGGGCAACCATCAAAGCGGATCTTCCGGCCATCAAGGAGGGGCCACAACCACGCCGTTAGCCTCTGGGGTAAGTGCGGACTCCGGGGTAGGGGAGAGAAGGCCCCTGGGAGTTCCCTAGCGTGGCTGTGGGTCGGACGCTGGAAACTGACCTTCTTGTCCTTGGATTGCAGGCCTCGGTCAACACACCTTTCATCAACCTTCCCGCTCTGTGGAGGGTGAGTGCCACACGGTGTCTCCTTTCTGCTCTGCGTCCTGATAGACACTCTCACCCTGATCCCTTCCCAGTGTCTGTTGGACCCTCCAACCTGATACCCAGTCCTGGGCTTCCCTCTCTCCACCCGCTCCCTCCCCTTTGCACCCTGCCCTCATCTTTTGGGTGCTTTTCATTTCCACCAAGGCAAACACAAGCTGGCAGAGAAGACCTCCAGGGCCCTGGCGCCCCTAGGAGCCAGGGAGGGGGGAGGGGCTGCTGACTGTTCTCATTCCCTCTTTCTCCCTATCCTCGTTCCTGACTGACTTCCCTCCTGTCCCCCCACCCTGCTGCAAATGCCTTTGCTTCATGCTGAGAGGAGGAGCCTGTGGCTTTGTCCTCTCCCTGGTGCAAGGTCACCCCAGCGTAGAGGCTCCAGTGGAATCCTTGTTCCCACTTGGGGCTCAAAGTAACCTCCTGACTCTCTTTCTTTATTTTAATTTATTGAGACAGAGTCTCACTCTGTCTCCCAGGCTGGAGTGCAGTGGCGCAATCTCAGCTCGCTGCAACCGTCACCTCCTGGGTTCAAGTGATTCTCCTATCTCAGCCTCCTGAGTAGCTGGGATTACAGGTGTGCGCCAACATGCCCAGCTAATTTTTGTATTTTTAGTAGAGACGGGGATTTCACCATATCGGCCAGGCTGGTCTTGAACTCCTGATCTCAAGTGATCCCCTCTTCCTTGGCCTCCCAAAGTGCTGGGATTACAGGCATAAGCCACTGTGCCCAGGCTTTTTTTGCATTTATTATATCTGCTGCCTGAGACCGGGTGCAGGCCAGGGTGAGGGTGTGTCATGGAGGAGGAAGGCCCACCCTTGTGTATCCTGGGCTATGGGGGCTGCAGAGCATCCTCTGAGGCTAAACACACGAGGCTTGCTTGTTCCTGCAGAGGCCCCAGCCCCTCTGGCCGGGGGAGCTGGCTTCCTCATGTTCTTAAGTTTAGATGCTGTCTTCCTGAAGCTGTTCCTTAGAACCTAACTCCGGGGCCAGAGCAGCCAGTGCCCCTTGCGCTTCTCCTGAGGGGTGGGGCTGAGGTCTCAGGCCCTGGTCATGACTGTAGACCCAGAATTCACCCTGCTCTCCTTCTGTCTTCCAGAGCGTCGCCAACATCATGCCCTAAACGGGCACCTGCCCTTGCTGGGAGACTAATGTTGCCGTTGTCACATCAGCGGACATGACCTGGAGGGGCTGGGGGTGGGGGACAGGTTTCTGGAGTCCCTGAAGGGGGTTGTACTGGGATTTGTGAATAAACTCGATACACTATGCTGTCTCATCGTGGTCCCCTGGGCTCCCTAAGGAGGGATGGACAGGGAGGCGGGAGGGGCTTGGCTTGTCTTGTTACTTTGCTGAAGGAGTTGGGGTGTCTGATGCACAGAGGGGTTGGGCTGGAGATTTCAGGCTGATCAGCCGTAAAAGGGCAGGTAATGGGGGCAAACTACACTTTACTGGGGCGCAAAGTTCGTGCTGGCTAATGGCAGGAGGACTCGTGCAGGGAAAAGCACTGCCGGCCACTGGTGGGGACAGACACACCGGGAGAGAATGGTCTGGGTCCAGGAGGTAGCATCCTCAGTCAAGGGGGTGGGGCGCCAAAAGAATAACAACAGTAACTTGTATTTATTGTGCAGTTAAGACATGCCAGGCTGCCTGCCAGGCGCGTTACCTGCATGACATCATTGACTCCTCCCAACCACCCAGTTAGGTGAAAGGGACTGTTATTGCCCCATTTTATAGAGAAGCACGTGGGGGCTTGCACACATTAAGAAACATGACCAAGTTTACACAGTCAGTGAGTGGAGGGAGAGAGACAGTGAAGAGCTACAAAGGATATTCTGGAAAAACAGAGGTCTTTGCCCTTTGGCAGCAGCGGAGAGGGGGAATCGGTGAACAGGAAAAGTGAGACACGGGATGGGGCCGGGGATCCTCTCAGGGGAAGGAAGGGGAAGGATGGAAGGCTCAGGTGGAAGACATGTTGGTGACAGGAGCCACCTGAGTGGGGGCACAGAAGGCCCCATTTTCAGATCTGTGCACCATTCAAAGCCCAGAGGAACAACGATTACAATTACTGAGTATAGAGCACTTGCTAGACTCAAGGTACCGGGTACAGAGTTGTTCATATTCTCTCTTTTTTTTTTTTTTTTTTTTTGAGACAGAGTCTTGCTCTTTCGTCCAGGCTGGAGTGCAGAGATGCGATCATGGCTCACTGCAGCCTCGACCTCCTGGGCTCAAGCAATCCTCCCACCTCAGCCTCCTGAGTAGCTGGAACTACTACAGGCACGCGCCACCATATTCAGCTAATTAAATTTTTTTTTTTTTTTTTTTTGGAGAGGGGGGTCTCACTAGTCTCACTATATTGCCCAGGCTGTTCTCAAACCTGGGCTCAAGGGAGTCTCCCGCCTCAGCCTCTTGAGTAGCTGGAACTATAGGCACGCACCACCACACTTGGCTAATTAAAAATTATTTTTTTGGCCGGGTGCAGTGGCTCACGCCTGTAATCCCAGTACTTTGGGAGGCCAAGGCTGGCGGATCACGAGGTCAAGAGTTCGAGACTAGCCTGACCAACATGGTGAAATCCTGTCTCTACTAAAAATACAAAAAAAAAATTAGCTGGGTGTGGTGGTGGGTGCCTGTAATCCCAGCTACTCAGGAGGTTGAGGCAGGAGAATCACTTGAACCTGGAAAGTGGAGGTTGCAGTGAGCTGAGACTGCACCTCTGCACTCTAGCCTGAACGACAAGGCGAGACTCCAAGGCGAGACTCCGTCGCAAAAACAACAACAACAACAACAAAAAACAGGGCCTCACTATATTGCCCAGGCTGTTCTCAGACTCCTGGGCTCAGGGGATTCTCCTGCCTTGGCCTCCCGAAGTGGTGGGATTACAGGCAAGGCCACTTCGTCTGGCCCGTTCATGTTCTTTAAGTCTCCCACAACCCAAAGGCAGAAGCCCTCTTCTCGTCAACACTGTATGGATGAGGACGCTGCAGCTCAGTGGGACAAGGGCACCCGCAGAGAAAACAGCAGGCCTGGGTCTGGCTCCGTCTATCGCCAGCACCTGACTTCTCATGGTTCCCCATGAAGTCTCTGTAACATTCCCAGGCACTAGCCTGGGCGCTGGGAGACTTGCGTTCCAATCAGGAGCAAGATGCCTGAAGGCAGCGTATTTCCCGGAGGCAGGGATTCCACAACTGTTGCTTCCAGCTCCAAAATTCCGTCAGTGGGGGACTGGAACTAAGAGACAGTGCTCTTGCCCTTGGGGAATTCACAGCTTTCCTCTCGGAGGCAAGGCCTATAAACAGAATGTGAATGCAAACACACAAAGCCACGCATCAATAAGAGCTCAATGACTGGCAAGGGGAGGGGCCTACATTTGTGCAAAAAACGTGAGGTTCCTCACTTTATAGTCACTGCGTTTTCCCTTATTCTGTGGAATACCATAATTTCATTACATATGCTCCTTCCCTCCCCCTGCGATATTTTATTTTGAAAACATTTCAAACATCATGAAAAGATGAGTTTTAGAGTGAACACCAACATTCTCACCGCTTAGATTTTACCATACTTGCTTGATCACGCATCTGTCCATTTAGCCCCATAGCAAACATTTTTGATGCATTTCAAAGTAAACTGTAAACATTATGTTTGCTGCATTTTGTCTTCTTTATTTTTTGAGACAGAGTCTTGGTCTGTTGTTCAGGCTGGAGTTCAGTAGCAGGGTCACGGCTAACTGCAGCCTCAATCTCCTGGGCTCAAGGAATCCTCCCACTTCAGCCTCTCAAGTAGCTGGGACTACAAGCACACACCATCATGCCTGGCTAATTTAAAATTTTTTTTTTGTAGAGATGGGGGTCTCATTATGTTGCGCAGGCTGGTCCTGAACTCCTGAGCTCAAGCAATCCTTCCGCCTCAGCCTCCCAAAGTGCTGGGAATACAGGTGTGAGCCACGGCACCCACCTGCTTGCTGCACTGATGTAAATAGAACCTTCCATTCATGTCACATACTGAGTGAGGGTCTGCTCTGTGCTGGACTTCGTTTCACAGGTATTGGGGGAGGCTCTACTTAAAGGAATCCTGCAGTGGCGGCTTTTGAAAAGGCAAAATTCAAGGGACTCTTTCTTTTGTGAAATGAAAGCTTTCATTGACTTTATTTATTTTTATTTAAAAAAC